TTTGCACTTTGACTCTATTTATTTCTGTTGGAAAAATAATTTTCCAAGTTTTTTTGCTATAGGCTATTAAAAGAGGTAACAAGAAAGATGTATACTAAATTGTAACTCCATTAAATGTTATTTGTGGCTTTTATTGGCAAAATTTACGTACCTTTCCTAAATAATTGTAAAAAAACATATACAAGATCATCAGTATCCTTGAATAGATATAAAAAAATGTCAAATGTCAAAAAATAAATGTCAAAATTTTTTGACAGTTAGAATTTTTTGTACATTTTTTTCATGTTCCTGATATCTTACCTTACTTGAAAATTTTCTCTGGGGCGCGAGTTCTGGCGCACCCTGTATATGGTTTTCATATATCTCAATATCATACCCTCATTCTGATAATTTGATTAATGTTTTTGAGACACTATGTATAATTAGGTATACATATGTATAATTATAGAGTGAGCGGCAAAATGGAATAGTCTTATTTATTAAAACTGAAAATACTTTGTTTTGATAAAAATGTTCGAACAGGTGAAATCACTTTTTAAAAAATACAAAAATTCTCAACTTGATTTAAAATTGTGTTTGTTTTTTGTTGATATTATTTTATGATATTATTATGATATTTAGTATTCTGGTGTTGTCATTATTAAAAGATATATCAAAAGAACTAAAAAAATAGGGGTTTCCATTTAAAAAAATGTCGACTTCATTATTACTCAAAAACGAAAAAGTGTGTAAAATTTTAAATCAAGTTAAAAATTGTGTATTAAAAAAAATAACCTGTTTTAGCATTTTTGCTAAAACAAAATGTTTTTAGTTTTAATAAGATTATTCCATAATTTTGACGCTAACTGAGCTTGAGGTTTCAATTTTTGGTATTAAAAATAGAGGTTAATAAGCCGAAAAAAAAAGTTATGACCCAAAAACTGGAAAGACCCCATAGCCACCGGAAATGTATAGCTTTTATAAAACTTCAGTTAACACCATATCACTGAGTGTTTTTTTATTAACATGCAATCATGCAAAGTTTCATAACAATCGGATAAACGATAACAAAAATATTTTCAAAAAATCATTTTTTCATACCGATTTTTGGAAAGATGTAATTTTTCTATTTTTTGAGGTGAGTCAATAAATACTGTGCTATCTATTCTCATTTGTAGATGGGTATATGTGGTTAAAATACTACTAAATAGGCTTCTTCCTAGTGAACACAGCTACTTTTTTAAGGAAAACACATCGATTTTCAAGAGTAAACAGAAAAAATCGTGAAAAGACCCCCGTTTTTAAGGTATATTTTTAAATTAACATTTTTTTAAAGATTTTGCCCTGTTTTTCAACGTTTCCATTAAAGTTTTTGACTAAAGTACTAAAGAATTATGAAAAATTATAGTCTGAATAAATTGGTAAATTTCATCATATAAAAAAGCATTAATAGTTATTTAAAATGTGTGACATTATTATTCTATAGTATGTATTATGATATTGGAATATAATAATTATTATTATTATGGAAGACTTTTTTATTAACTTATCTATTTCGAAAAAATTCTGAATCTATGCAAATGGCAGCTAGCCAGGGATATAAATCTTATATCATATTATACCAGGTGAATAGAAAGTATGGAACCAAATGTTTTTTGCTTAAACTATTTATTTTTTAAAAAGACTAATTGATGAGTGCTAAAGTACTACAAAAATGTGATGATTTAACAAGAATAAAATTTTTCGAAATTTTCTTTTATTTTTGAGTTCTACAAAAAAAAATAATTTTTTTAAATGGCAATCCACTATAAAATCATTTTTCTCATAAAAGCTGTACTCTAGAGATTACAACTATCTGCTTTATATTTAATTTTTTCAAAAAAAAATGTTTTCACATNAAGGATTACAACTATCTGCTTTATTTTTAATTTTTTCAAAAATTTTTTTTCACATAAATTGCAATTTTGACAAAAAAAATCGCATATCTCAAAAACAAAACAAAATTTCGTTCTGAAATTACGTTCACATTTTTTATATTACTTTAATTTATATTAATTATTATTTTCCGGAGGCAAATGATTAAAAATAAAACCGCTTGGTTCCATACTTTATATTCACCCTGTATATCTTATATCATATTTAGTTTTAAGCTTGTTTGTTTGTTTTCTTAACGTTTCCTTAATAGTGAGTTAAAACACAAAACTAAACACAAAAGTTTTTAGCAAAATTTTTATAAAATAAGTTTGTATTTTACTTACCGTTTTAATTCCTGTATAATGTTAGAGCATAAATTAGATTCTCTTTGAGTAAAGGTAACGGTAATGAGAAACGCTTTAATTCAATATCATTTATTTCTAAATATTTATAATATCAATAATTGGATAATTTTATTAACGTCACTGTGTCAATGTACACATGCACATAAACTACACATTTAATTTATTTTATTTTATGGAAGACAGACCATGGCAATTTCCCAAAATGATTTATGGAAAAATTTAATTTTAAGTTCCCTTCAATAAAAATAAATAATTCCATAAAAATTTTGTCTCCTTACGTTATTAAACTTTTACATAATATTTACAATGAAATTTTTTAATGAAAACCTTAAGTAAGACACTAAAGCTGCTCTATATTTTAAATAAATCAGACATCACAAAACTTAGTATTTTCCCTTTTACAAAAGACTTTTACGTTTACTCAAATGCACATAACCACTACTATATTTCATATAAATGCAATTACTTGAAACATCACAATTACTTATCAAAGTATCACTAATTATAATAATTAATGTAATTTGGTGGTTGTCTATTTTTTTAATTGTTTTATTGAAATTTGTGTTATTTCACTTCTAAAACGTTTTTAATACTTTTTTCAAGTTCATTTGTTTAGTTAGTTTTAGAAAGATTATTAGGGAATTTTTTGATTAATATATCACTCATAAAAAATCCTTAAAACACACAGTCATTTTCTAATTTTTTATAAACTATCGTTGGAAAGCATTTTACAACAAGTCATAAATTTTGTTCTAATTTTATGTACATCCTAAGTATACTTGAAACAGGAGTTTAAACATCATCTTGAACGTGTGTTATAATTTACAAATCATAATCTAGTCATGATACAGAGATAACTGTGAGGACTGAGAAATCTAAAACTCCCAATTCTGATTGAATGTGTAACAGTAGTGCCGATCCAATGAAAATTGAGCATTTTAAATGTTCTCTTCCTCGGAATTATTTCTTCTCCTTGATTGTAACTAATTTGGTGATATTGCAAAACGGTTGTAAACATTTAAAATACAGGCTGATTCCGGTAAGATGACAAAATAAAATGCAACACAAAATACATCTCAGATTAGCATATTTTATAGTAATCTTGCATAAATCAGACAGTATTGTCTGTAAGCCTAAAAATATCATAATTAATTTATAGATTATTTTTAAAAATCAAAAAAGTTCAAATTATAGAGAATTTACTTTGCCAAAATTTAACTACCAACTATCACATCTGGTTTGATATTTTTTCTCAAAATTACAAAAAAAACGCAGAACAGTTTTATTGTTTCATTAAATGAAATGCAAATATCATTAAAACCTTTTCATGCTGTGAGATTACTTCTTGCCGAATAAAAAAAAATATTCCTAGAATATTACAAGAATATAAAAATTTACAGTTACTGAAATTAAACCTTAAAAAATAAAATACGTTTAACAATTTGTATGTTTCTATTAAGCAAACACTCAGTCATTAAATTGAGAATAATAAATTTCACTTACTTGTACATGTAATTAATCGACGAATATTATTTTTTTAAGTGAATGAATATCATAGAAAATTTATGATACGTACCTGAAATACTTACATAGTAATAATATATACATACATAGTATCTATATAATAATCAGCTTTTCAAAAATTGTTCATAATATTACGTAATATATCTATAGATATGCATGGTAAATTTTTAAATTGACCAACAAATATGCGCCTTTTAAAACAACCGAAAATTCTCAATGAGTGAAACAATTGCTAAATTTTAAAATACAGTAATTGTCTTATTTATAGCACAGATTTTTTATACAGAGTGAAAAACTAAAATTGTGCTGTTCTTTAAATAAAAACAACATTACTGTTTGTAACTGTCAACTTAATTCAGCCATATTTTATAGTTACGAGTATAATTATTCGACGAGTTTGAGTGTAAATCGGACGCTTTATTTCACCAGTGGATTTTTAAACCAGGTAACGAGTAGTTTATCATTCACGAGGTGGAATAAATGAACCGATTTACATGCAGGCAAGTTGAATACAGCATTTTATTCTTCGAATTAGACTCAATAAGGGTTAAAATTTAAATTTAAATCTGTTAAAAATAATCTGACGTTTCATATGAAATGCCGAATAGTTGTCAAAACTTCCTTACACAGGAGAAAAACCCAGTGTCAAAGACTAAAATAAATTTTAAAAAAAGGTACAGACTCGGATGACTAAATAAATAAAAAAATGGTAAAGTTTCATTTTTTAAACGAAACACCCTATGTTTTTCTAAATAGCAGGATTGTCTTTAAAGATTAACGCAAAGAAAATCATTGTAATATTGTTTTACAAATATGGATTTTAAAAGTTACAATTAGCATTGTTTTAAATCTACAGAGTGATTGAAAATGCACAGTGTTATATTGAAGTCTTTTTATACACGGTGTCTCAAAATTCGCGCACTTCCTTGAAAAGGAGTAATAGGGTAGTCCCCCAGAGTATTGACAAAATGTTAAAAAAATTCTATCTACAAAAATTTCGAAGTTATTCGAGTTTAAATTTTGCATTTTGACTCTATTTATTTCTGTTGGAAAAATAATTTTCTAAGTTTTTTTTTGCTACAGGCTATTAGAAGAAGAAACAAGGAAGCTGTATCTTAAATTGTAACTCTGTTCAGTGTTATTTGTGGCTTTTATTGGTAAAATTTTTGTACTTTTACTAAATAATTATAAAAAAACATATACAAGATTATCAGGAACATTAAATAGACACAAAAATATGTCAAACTTCAAAAAATATAGGTCAAAATTATTTGACAGAATTTTTTTAACATTTTTTCAGTACTCTGGGGGACTACCCAATTACTCCTTTTCAAGGAAGTGCGCGAGTTTTGAGACACCCGTACAACCAATACAGGATGTTTCAAAAATATCGAACCAAACTGTACTTAAACTTGTAGATCTGTACTAGCTTATGCAAAATCACGGAAACAATCAAATTTCAAGTACTTTTTAATAATAAAAAAACAGAAACAAAGAGAATGTACACACGTTTCAGTGCCGACTCGCTGAAGAAAAAAAAGTCTTGAAACAAAATTCTCTAAACAAATTTTGTTCAAACATTGTGAATTTTTACTGAAACAAAGTTTTTTTCAGTGACATGTTTATAACTTCATAACAACCCACAAGAATAAAAATGAAAAAGTTAACAAATCTTGATTTTCTTACGCATCAAAAAGATCTTCAAAACATTTTAAAATACGAAATTTGATTGTTTGTTTGAAAAGTATTAAAAAACTTTTTTCAAAAGTTTATTTGAAAAAAACAATAAAAAGCAGCTTTAAATTTCATTCAATTTTTTGATAAGAAATTTGCCAAGAAAAAAGTCGGAGTTGTCAAATTAAAATTTTAAACTTGTGGACCACGTGATGACACCTTGACACAACAATGATTTATAATCACTACATGTTATTTAATGTTGCCAACTTAATTTCAAAGTCACAGACATTTTGACTAAAATGGATGGCATTACCAGTATCAGGTACTATTTTATGAAACCCTCTGTATATTTTTTTGTTTAAAATTGCAAAAAACTGAAAATCGTTAAGAGCTGTTTTTGAGTAAGTAAAATGCAACTTTAATTTATTAAGTAGTTATGAAACTCTTTCTATACCTTTTTATTTTAGAAAATAAACTAAACAAGCAAGTTTGTTATTTATTTAAATCAAGCAGCAACTTTATTTTCGAAATGTTGCTTCTGTACATTATGGGTAATTGTTTCACTCATTTAAAATTTTTCAAGTTTAACAAACATAAACTTTACACCATTGTCAGTAAACTGTCCAAGACCTGGAATTTATTTTTGTGAAAAGAAGCTTTTTGTGACTATTGTATTTTTGTAATTTTTAATTTACATAAATTTCAAACAACAATAAGCTTTAACAATAAAAAAATTACTCCATAGTGTTGTACTGAACATTTTTAATCTTAAAATATCTAAAAATGCCATACCCCGTCACTGTCATCAAAACAGCTATCGCTAGAGTTGATCCAACAGCAATGGGTGCAGTTTCATCACGATATGTTCTTTGGGGTTTGCATTCAAAAGTGGGTCCAAAATCGTCACCTTTATACATAAAAGGTTGCACCTGCAGGAGTCGTAGAAGAAGAGTCCCTCTGAGACCTGCTGGCGGATTGTCTTCTTCATCCGTCTTCAGTTCAATATCAACCTCTTGACAAGCATAGGATTTACCAACTGGAGTAGGAATCAACATTTCCTTGTGGTATAGTTTGATAGGGTTGCCATGTGTTTGGATACTCTTAAACTGGGGTAAATCTGGATTGACGGTCAGCTCGACGTTCTCAATGTACCAACGTTCACCTCCCGGCGTTTTTGCAAAGTTAAGCAATAAATTGTACCCTGACCATGAAATGGTCATGAAAGAAGTGTCCTCCTTCTTGCAGTTTCCGTCAACTAAAGCCTTGTCAGGAATGAAAGAATCGGCTTGCTCCTCTAGGTTGTGTAACAAAAAGTTAACCTACGACTAACAAATAAAAAAAAATGCATTTTTTGTGGTAACTTACCTCAACTACGGCATCAGTCTTTAGTAAAATACATGTGGTTCCACTGTTACTTTTATATCGATAAATAGCCGCACCTGAATCGTCTTTAGAGGCCGTACTTGTTGGTGTTGCCAAAGAACCACTTCCGGGCTCTGTAGTTGAGGAACTAAATTTGGTATGTCGAGGTTTGGGTGTGATTTGATTTGGAAGAGTTATTGCCGACACCATTGACGAAATCGTTGCATCTGTAAAATATTGGCCAAATTATTTTAATGTTTTTTTTTATTTGATTTGATATCCAGAAGAACTACATTGGAAAACAGGACAAAGGATTTATTTAGCACAACAACTGAGAAAAACTAAAAAAAAATGCATATGGCGCATTTGTGTTTTACATGTTTTTTTTTAGTTTTTGGTTGAGCATTTTCATTGCTTTTGGTAACATTATTCTATGAAAAAAAATATCCTGATGAATACACCTGTCATGCTCTCGTAGCTCACTCACCACAAATTTTTAAGAAAAATAATCAAACTATTTATTCAGAATTCATAGTAGCAAAAAAACTTGTAAATAACAAAATACAATACAGGTGTTTCAGAGCTCATGTCCCACTGAAAAATTCCAAGTAGATAACAGGAACATGGAAAATAAACCTTACATGACATTTTTTTCTGGGGCAAAACACCCTGGATATTTTTCTGACGCTGGAATTTTTGGCTTATTTCAAATCAATTCATTTATGTAATTAAATTATGACCGTTTAATCTAGTATCATTTAAATGAAATTACAAATAAAATAAGATTAAAAAAAAAATAAATTAATAGGTATTATAAGAGTTATTTTGGAATTTTCAAATAGTATACCGGATGATCAAAAATGAGTGTTTGAGATGGCAACAGAATTCAGAGCTTTTTTTTTCGGCAGTTTTTTTACCACTACCACCGGATAAGAAATAAGAAAAATGTGGAAAAAATATGGCTTAAAAAAATTCTCTGTTGCTACGTATATTTTTTTATATTTTGGTACAAATTTTGTTCACTAGGACCTATTTACTGAATTATTTTGCATATTATTTTTTATATTCTTTTATTCTATACACATCCATTTTATAAATCTAATAAAGTAGAAAGCTAAATTTTGTCTTATTTGTTAACAGAATTTAACAGTAAATGAAACTAACTGACTTTTACTACAAAAACTGATTTAGGCACATAAATCATGCTCCAATAAATCTAACAAATTATAATTAAAATATAAAAGACATTGAAGAGGCTTGACCACAAAAATTTGATTTTTTCTATTTTATGCATGGTTTATCATGAGAATCAATCTAAACAAAGTGCTTAGTGTTTATTTCACTACACACTTACTGTCACTGTGTCATATGAAATTTTAACTTTTTTTGTGTAATAACAATGTTTTACAATTTTAGTACTTACAAATTAAGAAATATTTTAAATGAACAGCCATTTCTTGTTGAGCCATATTCGTCTAGTTACACTTTTCACCATCTACCTACGAGTTTAGACTGTTCCCGTAATCCCACAATTTGAAGACTATAATACCATTCTAAACGTAACCTACGCAGAAGCAAAATCCTCATCAATAAAGGGGCGCATGCGAAAGTAAAGACAACGTGGGTGAACTCATTGATAAAATTTCTTTCTGTACTACACTATCGAGACTACCTTTAACCTTAGCAACAATATCACGTACCAAGAAAATTAATGATAAGAAGTTTGGTATATTATAACGTCAGAAATATCGATTTGTCATATTCTTTTTTATTCCTATGTGGGTGTAACTTGTTATTACTTTACTTGGTGGCACTTTAAGCTGTTAAATGATTAAAACTAATTTACCTACTCTAATTAATTAAATGAGCAATGATAAATTTAACTGACGGCTACATTATTTATAAGTTGGTTGATTACCCCTTAGCCACGAAATTAAATTAAATTTTATTCACAATCACTGTAGTAATATGCCAATTCCTAACCTTTTGGAGGTCGAAAAATTCGTTATTACATCCCGTGTTGGGAATTTGACTATATATTTGATTTATTTAAAAAAATATATTATATTCAATATACAAGGTGTTCATTTTTTATTATAAGAGATACGAGGTCGGTTAAATTAAGGCAAAGTTGTGCATTTTTATGCTGAACAATAATCTCAAAGAAAATTTTGTGACGTTTTTAGTTTTTGAATTATTGAAAAAAAACGGAAAATTGTAATTTTTTTTAATTTTTTTTAGAATGATGAGGGCGAAAGTGGGCGGCAAAATTATAGAATAATCTTATTTATTGAAACTGAAAATATTTTGTTTTGGCCAAAAAGTTCGAACAGGTCAATTTTCTTTTTGAAAAATACAAAATTTTCAACTTGATTTAAAATTGTATCTTTGTTTTTTATTGACATTATTTCACTTTTTGGATGATTTTTTTTGAAAAACTATGAAATACATAATACTTTGGTGTTGCCATTTCGCCAATTAAAAAAATCTATCGAACTTGCTAAAAAAATTAGGGGCTTCCATTTTTAAAAAAATGTCGCTACCCTCATTACTCAAAAATCAAAAAAATGTAAAATTTTAAATCAAGTTCAAAATTATGTACTTTTCAAAAAGAAAATTGACCTGTTCCAGCTTTTTTGCCAAAACAAAATATTTTCAGTTTTAATAAAATTGTTCCTTATTTTTGCCTCTCACTGGCGAGTTGGTAAAGTTCAATATTCAAACAGATGTGAATTTAATTTAGTTGGATACCTAAGATGTGGCCCAAAGAAAATTACAATTGATGATTTCTTTTTAAATTAGTAAAACTAAGTAAGTGTTGAGAGATCAAAATAATTTATAATCGACTCGTCTTTGTATCCGAAAAAGTATGTCCTGTGCGTATGTCTGTGAAACGTCAAATAAAATGACAAGTAGAAAGGCAAAATGCCATGATCAAAAAGATGATGATTTTAATAACTAAATTTATGATTTACTTTCAAAAAAAAGACGGTTTTATGATTATACGTCGGCGACTAATTCCAGCCCGTCTTCAGATCCAAAAATGACTAGATTACAAATTATCTTGATCTCTCTTTAGTCGGTGTACCTATATTAATAAGTGTGATTTAAAAAGAATTCTAATGTTTTTATTTAAAAAACTTTAGGTCATAAGGTTTTTATATTAAAATAAATATAAAGAATTAAAGCTTTCGGTGGCAAGTCTGAGGGGGGCCCTGGTCCCCTGGATCCGCCCATGAAATCTCGTAGTATGTAGTTCTCCGTAATTGCCAAACTAAAATTTTAAATTTAAGACTAACTTGAGTTAAAAAATCACGATCATTTGCAGTCACCTTGTATCTTTGTTTAATAAAATTAGTCACTGCTAACAGTTTCTCAAAAATAAAAAACAGGTAGATTTTTTGATTTTTAAATTTTAACGCCGATGTGGAATTTATTTGGCATAAAAATTAATAAGCACAAGACCCAAAAGTTTTACTGGTGTATAGGCAACCAACAATGATACGGTTTGTGAAGTTCAATAATTCTGGGGATGACTATCGAAAAATAGATTTTTTGAGATCAACGAATTTTAAAATTAATTACGGGTAAATCGATTTTTGAAATGATACAATAAATATAAAATAAAACGCAGTGCCTCCACTGTCGGCAAAGAATTTTAAAATTTCTACCTATTAAAGGTATCATACATATTGCTTCAAGTTTTTTGACATAAAATTGAGTAGTTTACAGCGAGTGCTGAATGGTGAAAGTTATTTTTATTTATTTTCAATTAAACCGGAAATAATTACTGTATCAGAACCCACATTGGTTTACTTTTCTGAAGTTTGTAGATAAAATTTTAAATTTACTTGCATAAAATTTTAAATAAAAAAAAAACATGAAGCGATAGTTACTTTCATGAGCTTTCATTCAATTTAATTGGAAAGTATGTAAATGTGGTTAAAATAATCAGATTATATAAAAGTACATATGTATAAACGGTTTTATTCGTAATTATTACTAGTTAACAAAAAAGCAAATCAAATTGTTCCAAATAAATAAATAAATAAAAATCGCCTTCATTTTTAAAGAAGTTCGTTATAACAAAGTTTTGATCAGCCACCTTCTGAATTTAAATGTATTCTCCTTTAATCCCGCTTGACGTAAAAGACATTCTTTGAGATTACTTTGTATTTTATTTTGAAATCTATAATTTCTTGATCAGGAATAACACAAAGGTTTATTATGTATTCCTCAATTTCCGCTGACCCTACTTCGTAATACAGTCTTCTTAGTTCAACCTTAAATGCTAAATCAAGCCTCTTGAAATCCTCAAGACACAGAATTTTTGCTTTTTCTCGCCTTATAGACATTTCATGAAGACAACTTTTCAATGTGTCTTCAAATTTCTCAACAAGTACTTTCTGTTCCGATGAAAGAGTTGAAGTTTTTACGCGATTGGAATATTGTTTGAGGGGACGCACATCTTCGGGAAGACTATTAAAAGGGTATTTATTCTGTGTCATCATCCTTATTGTCTTTCAAACACTTCTTGAGCAGTGCGTCGTATAGGTTTTGCCATTTCAAATTCTCCTTTGTGTTCACTAGAAAATGACGTTAAAATACCATTACAACGGATTAGGTGCCACTTACTTGTTTTTGCTATATTCGACCCAAAAATTGTTAATTCAAAATTCAAATTGAACAACCTAACCTAAATTAAAAAAGCAAGAAGAGGGAACGTCGACAAGTTTAAAAGTGCAAAATCAAAATCCCTAGTTAGTGACCAACTAATACCACAGCGGGTAATTTAAATCAACTTTTACTTTATATTGATTTTTTAGAATTAAATAAGAATTAATTTGTTTGCTTACAAACTAGATAAATATTTCTACGAAACAGAATTCTTTGTCTGTTCCGTACAGCAAAGATGGGAGCAGTTATATTTATTTATTTATTTTTAATTAAACTAAAAATAATTATTATGTCAGAACCGATACTTGTTTAAATTAAAACCTTATTAATGGTAAACATTACTGCAAAATTATTGCTATGTTGAAAGATGGTATATTATATTTTGTTCAACAAATTTCAACAATTATATTTAATGATATTAAATGTTTATTTAATATAGATACATCTAATGTGTAGTTTTAGAGAACTAGACAAAAATATTTTAAAATAATTATATCAAAAAAAAAGTTATGTTTTATAAACACTGGTGCGTATTATGTGTTGCCTACTACTTTGTTAAATTTATTTTAATTTAATTCAAGCATTTTTACTTCTATTTTGTTTACTACTTTTTTGCAACAATAAAAAAAAATAGAAAATAGATAGAAACAATATGAAATACTTGTAGAATAGCGATAATTATTTTCATGAGCTTTCATTCAACATATTTGGAGAGTAAATAAAGATCCTTTTCCGTTAATTAAATATTTTTTTTTAATTAGAAATAAATTATATAAAAAGAGAAAATTTTAAGTGAATTTTGTGTCATTATTTATTAGTGACCGAATGAGGCTAGCAATTGTATTGTATTGTAATAATTAAATTATTTATTTTAATTTTTTTTGACTGTCTTCACATTTTTTTGCTAATAAAACATTTTTTTTAATCGTGCAGTAAAACAATAGATGCAGGCGTTAGCAATTATAGTGTCGTCACTTCATTGTTAATTAATCAAAATGCGTTCTAAGCATCTGTTTAAAAAATTTCTTTTTTCATGAATAGTTTCAAGGAAGTGTTTTCTTCAGTGGCTCCAAAGTGGGGAAGTATGAAATAACTCGACTAAATATGAATGAAAAAATGCAAGCAAATCAACGCTACTATAAATCGATGAGGATTTATTTATATTCATTCACTGCAGTAAATAAACCGTTGAAAGCAAATATTTCAGAATGTGAGAATGCGACTGTTTGATTACCCCTGAAGTGAAAATACAGCTACACCGTGTGAGGCATGCGCAGTGGCAGTCACCTTGCCAATGACGTCATGATATTTTCGTTCAATTCCCGCGCTACGTCTGCTAATTTTAGCGCAGGTCTGGTAGATAGTGCGTTTGGCGTCACGTCGTAGCTAGTTGACATGTATAGGTTCAGTCTCCCAGCCATCTTGTAAAATTCTAAAAGTATGCTTTTTGAGGTGTGTGTTGGTTTTATGGGATTTTAAAGTGACCAAGGGTATTTTATGGGTGAGTTTTAAAATTTAGACCATTTCGTGCATTGTCTGTGGTTCAAATACACTTTAAATTTGGTGTGAAATGCTGAAGTTATGGTCGGAAAGTGTGTCCCTGTCATAGCTTTCACTCCATCCGCAAAATGAAGAAAATCACTGAAAAACCCTCCAATTGTGCTTGAATCCAACTCGGGGGTGTAAGTCTCCAGTTTTGGGATGGGGTTGTTTGTTTGTGTTGCGTTTTTGGTTAGAAATTGTGCCGTTTCTGCGAAACTCGTAGGGGTCATTTTTGCCTGCTCGAACTGTTAGCCTTATTAGGCAGACCTTTGACTTTCGTATTTGTAAGAAAATATTGCTTTTGCAAATTATTTGTTTCCATTTATTTGGGGTCGCGGTCTCGTTTTTTTATCAAGATTTTCACGTTCGACGGTCTGTGGCTTAAACTATCACCGGAAGTCTGCTAATCACTCTTTAAAGGTGTTCGGTTCTTCTTTTTAACGTAGGTATCTCTCGGCTCTCCAAATGACTCATCATCACCAATCCAAGACATTGCTTGAGGTCAATAATTTCAATCAAACTTTCAACTTCATCGCATTTTATTTGTTTTGCGAACAGAATATTCCACTTTCAGGTATTTCGTTACTTTCTGGTTCGGTTGTTCTTTCGAAATACACTCATTGCCATTCTTCCTTCTCTACTTCTTCGAACTCAATTACTCTAATCAGTTTCACCCACTTTGCTTTTTTCAGCCACAAGTTTCTACTCATAAATTGATAATTTTGACTTGTTATCTTTCAAACACCAGCTGACTATTTTTTTGGCTATCCATTTAATACTTTTCATTTTCTTTGTCCGTCTCCTCTTTTGTGTTCAATTTTTAACCATTTTTTTTTGTATTTATTTTTGTATGATGTGATATAATGGTTCCTTCCTTAAATACGTATCTTTTTAGTATAACAAAATTCTATATTAAATTTTAAAATTGCTTTTTTATTAAAAGTTTTTAACCGGGTTGTATTTGTCCAGAAAAAATGTTAAAAGATTTGGAGGGGTGAATCCTTAAGTCAATATAAGAAAAAAAAGTTTCTATGGACCAATGTCCGGAAATGCTTCCTAAGGAGAGCTTTCTAAAAATAGAGAGCAAAAAGTATTTAATCTTTGTACAGATTTGTCAACAAGAAATTACCACCTAGGATTTTAATTTTTAGGAAAATTACGTTTTTCTGTTGTTTGTAACTAGAATTTTCAGAAGTAATTTTGAATGCCTAGGGTTGGTTGCCCCTTGTTGTTGACGTTTACTGTCAACTATCAATTGAGTTACAGGTGACTTAACCTAAATTTTTGACACTAGTTACGATATCTTTTGTTTGTCACTACAAACCAACCTAATTAAATTTATGGCAACCTATTCACGAATATCCTTAAAATCCTAGGGAGTAATTTCTTGTTGATACGATAATACAATTTCCAAAAATTTATATCTGGAGTATTTTTTGGCGCTGAATCTACTACATAGTGTTATGTGGTCAATATATTTAAGGCGGAAAATGTTTCTTTAGAAAACGTTTTTTAGAAAGTTTTCCTACAGATTAGTGTTTGCTGACTAATTTTCTTAATTTTTCTTTTTGAGAAAAATGGGATTTTATTAAACCGTGCACCAACATTAATTCTGAAAAGCAACTCACGCAGTTTTTTTCATGAAAGATAGAGTTATCCCTCTAAAATTTCTTTAGGAAGCATTTCCGGAGGTAGGTTTATAGGAGCTGTTTTTTTTTCTCATATTAATATCTAAGGAATGATCCCTCAAAATCTTTTAAAAAACTTTTTACAAATTTCAAATTGAAACATTACTTATGCTCACTACATGGTGTGTCAGAACTCGCGCCCCAGAGAAAAATTTCAAGCAAGATAAGATACCAGGAAAATGAAAAAAATATTTAAAAAATTCTATCTGTCAAAAATTGTGACATTTATTTTTTGTCATTTGACATTTTGTTATGTCTATTTAATGATACTGATGATCTTGTATATGTTTTTTCATAATTATTTAGAAATGGTACAAAAATTTTGTCAATAACAGCCACAAATAACATTAAACAGAGTTACAATTTAAGATACAGCTTCCTTTTTTCCTCTTCTAATAGCGTGTAGCAAAAAACTTGGAAAATTATTTTCCAACAGAAATAGTGTCAAAGTGCAGAATTTAAACTCTCATAACTTCGAAATTTTTATAGTTAATTTTTTTTTTAACTTGTTTTCCCCGTTCCTGGAGAACAGGGGACGCGAGTTCTGGCGCACCCTGTATATCTGTGAAAATAAGTCATTATTTAGTTGGCAAATTTGTACAGTTTTGTTAATACTAATATTTAATTTAATTTCTTCAAAAAGCAGACTAGCATGAAAAAAAGCCTGTCTTTTCTATATGCCACAAATTTTAATTTTTTTAAATTAATCTTTGGTTAATTTTACTAAAAACCCTCTCTTACAATAATTATTCAGACAACAAACTCCTTTTATATCATTTTTTTTGTAATATAATAGTATGGTACTATCATTTATTCATTTTTATATTATTGTTTTTCGTCATGCCGTTCTGGAATTAATTAATAAAATATTGCTATTATTAATTGATTAACATGTTATAAAAAAGGTTAGGTATAAAGGATTGAGCCTACGAATTTTGTCTTGTTAAAGAGTTTGTAGTTTTAAAGACACAAAACCCAATTTAGACCGATTTTTATTACTCCAATTTTGTTACAAAATAAATTTGAGTAGTTGTGTTATATGACAATGTACAGGGTGTACCAATTCAATAAAATGTGGTAGAGAAATGTTTTCATAATTAATTATAAAGGAAGAAATAATTAAAAAGTTATATCTATTAAAGTGATTGGTAAAAAACGTATTAAAAAAATGGATGTGGAAACGTAATTTGCCTACGCTTTTCAACAACGTATCACTGATTTGGTGCTCTATTTTTTGAGCGGCCCTGTATACTTGTAATAACGTGTTTTCAATTAAATTTAATTAGAGTGGTTTGTGATACTGAAATTTAGTTGGTAACAATGAATATTGTGTAAATCGATGTCAATTTTCTCTGCATTATAGGTAAAATGGATTGAACTAAGTTTAGGAATTAGAGGCCACTTTTACTAAAAATTAAATTGAAGGCACGGAATATCTATGTATATGTATGTATAGGGTAATACACATAACTTTACTACTTTGACGAACTTTTTTAGTCCATGTCGTATGAAATTTGAAAAATGAATTATTCTTCATAATTAGATGATATTTCGATGAATAAAATTTTCGTATTCAAACATTTTCTATATTTTTTGTTAAAATTTTTAAAGAATTTGTAATATTATTGTTAGCCCCAATTGCGTGTTAATGATGAAAAGAATAGTTAATTCTGATGGGGTGTGCTTGTGGAAAAGTTTCTACCAATTTCGAACAAATAACTAGGATAAGAGGAAAAATACAATTTTTTGTTTTAAATGGCACGTAGAAAGTGATTCATTTTTTTTGGTTCTTAATTTAATGTCTGCGTCTTTAATTTGATTTTTACGTTTTGTCCTG